AGTGAAAAATTCCCGACGGCGTCGAAAACAAGTGTTGTATTGTTATGTATAGTTGTAATCCTTAAATTTATTATGCACCGGTTAAATTGCTTCGGAAATAACACCCATTTTTCAATTTAATCGGTACTGTACAAATGTTTGTCTTGGGTGTTACAGGATCATTACTCAAGGTATATTTCGTAAAGCAAACTTTTAAATATTATTTCTAAATTTTTATACTCCTACATATTATTATTACAACTTTTAACAGTTACACACTGAAAGAAATGCGTTTTATTCTTTATTAGAATTCTATATACCATTATAAGACCATTGTATACTATATGTGACAGTTAAACAGGTGAATATTGGATATAAAACGCGTATTGCTAGCACAGTTGTATAGTGACTATAAACCTTATTCTTTATTAAATTATTGTATAACTAGTATACAACGTTTTTTATACCCTTTACGAAATAATAGCAATAACTGTTATTAAAGTGTTCCATATCGTTATTAGAACATCTAGTACTGGTTATAAGTTTTATAATAATAAATGTATTAAACTGTTGTATACTCTGTATGAGTTAAAAACATATGTCATTAAGTTTTCAGAAATTTTATTGGATAACTGTAATTACAAGCTAAGGTTCTAATGTAAACATACATAAAACATACTTTTAAGCATTAAAAATGATGACAAATCGCTCCCAAAACTGTCCAGTTTATTTTCTTAGCAACGATGCACCCGTATTTTCTTGTATTACATGAGAATTTGCACTATAACTCTTCCACCTTAAGAATGAAGCATCCCCAGAAAGGTTGAGCTTCTTTCCATATAATTTTATTTCCTCTGGTTGATTGACTTTATACCCATGCTCTTCTTTGTCACCGTTAACCTTCTGTTCCTCCATCTTATGTAAAACTTAACATCAGCGATTTCTAATAGGACCTACAAAATAATAATTTTTAAGATTTAGACAAGATTTACATTTGAAAAAACAAAACAATTACAAGCCATAAAACAGTTAGATACTTACATAATAATTTTCCATTTCACACAACGCGATATGATCATGTATCCCACAAAACATGTGCATATACTGTCCATTTTCATCAAACTAGACGTGTGTAAGTCGATGCACAGCGGACTGTCGGAAATTTTACGATTGTTGTATTTTCTCTTCTTGAGTAAAGATAATAAAGACGTTGTGGTTTTGTGTGTTTATTTTGACAATGATTGAACATGTATGGACAATAAAAGTGGACTGTATAAGATAGTTGAGTACCGTTCTGCTTCATGCATAGCATGCTACTGAAATCTTAGAAGGGATGAGCTCGTGCGGCGAACCCTAAATCAGCGGCTGGAATAGCCAGGTTTCTTATTGAGTCGGCGCACTTCGCTCTCGGGTCTGACATATGATTATTATTACAAGACTATGAATATAACTTAACAACGATCATAACCGATTATGCACCGAGAGGTGACGATCACTTAACCATTATAAGATGCGTTTTACACGTTAAAAACGGAAACATATTCAGTATAAGAACGAATAATTCTGTTAATACAATTGTTATATACAAATTCGGATACTGGTCTTTATACAACAAATCTTCCCTACTATACAATTGGAATATAAAGTCTATAACACCTAATAATGTATAAGTAATTCATTATAACCTTTATTTCATAGATGCATAAGGTGTATTAAGCACCTTCCAGTTAAACTGATTGAATAATGAGTATGGAGATGATTGCTTTTTTTAAATAAAAGTTGTATATTGGTTATAAAAGTTTTAATATGCGCTATACACATTATACTAGATAAACAGTTTAATAAGCCCATTTCTTTCAGTGCACCGAAAGAAATACGCTTTATTTATTATCAGAATTATAAACGGTATTACAAGAACATTGTGCACTGAAAATGTTTCTTTAATGTGTATAGCGCATATTAAAACTTTTATAAGAGATATACAACTTTTATTTAAAAAAAAATCACTCATCTCCGAACTCATTATTCAGTGAGATTAACTGGAAAGCGCTTAATAACACTTAATGCATAAAAGTTATAATGAATTATTTATATACAGTGTTTCACTTAAATTCGGAACACCTCCATATTTAGGATGGCGTTGGCCGATTTCCAAAATTATTTCTTTTTATTATAAAGTAGACCTTTTTGAGTACTACCACATAAAAAAAAGAATTTTGGAAATGGGCCAACGCCATCCTAAATATGGAAGTGTTCCGACTTTTAGTAAAGTGTGTTATAAGCATTATGTTCCATTTGTACAGTAGGGAAGATTTGTTGTATAAAAACCAATATCCGAATCTGTATATAACAGCTGTATTAATAGAATTATTCGTTTTTATAATTTCCCCTGTGGGTGTATATGGTTATGGTGTTAAAATTTCCGACAGCATACTATTATGCTTTTTCTAGCTGGACGAGAATAGACAATACAAACACATGTTTCGTGGGATACATGATTATACTGCGTTGTGTGAAGGGGAAAGTTATGTAAGTATCTAATTGTTTTATAGTTTGTAGTTGTTTTGTTTTTTTCATATTTAAATCTTGACTAAATCTTAAAAATTACTATTTTGTGTGCCCTATTAGAAACCGCTGATATTAAGCTCCACATAATATGAAGGAACAGAAGGCTAACGGTGACAAAGAAGAGCACGTCAGTTAAAGTCAATCAACTAGAAGAAATAGAATTAGAAAAGAAAGTCAATCTTTCAGGGGATTCTTTATTCTTACGGGGGAAGAATTATAGTACAAATTTCCATATGATGTAATGTAATACAAGAAAACAGGAGTGCACCGGTACTAAGAAGATAAGCTGGGAATTTTTGAGAGCGATTTGTCATCATTTTTAATATTTGAATGTTTGTCATATTAGAATCTTAGCTTGTAATTATGGTTCTACAATAACATTCCGGAAAATTTAATGTCAATTAAATACTAGTATACTAATTACACAATAATTGAATAAAGAATATGGTCACTATACTACTGTGTTAGCAATACGTGTTTTATATCCAATATTCCAATATACTGATTTGATCATATTTTCCCTGTCATACAAATGGAACATTAAGCAATTCATTTTATGTGGTTTAAGTGAGTTCCAGTTAAACTCGCTGAGTCGTGATTATGAAGATGAGTTGCCTTTTTTGATAAAAGTTGTGTATTTGTTACAAAAGTTTTAATATGTATTAATTAACTGCAGTATTCTAGAGACACCGTTTGATAATCCCATTTATTTCATCATATTTTGTTAAATTTGAATAATAACCATATTATGCGCCTATACTTGAATTAATATACAGGAAATCCCATTGATAAGAAGACAACCTTGAATAACTCTATAAATAATTGTTTTGCACCAAATTCTGGATAGAAATTGATAATTACTGGTAACGGAACTTTTATATATATTCGGAATATCTAAAAAAGTACTTAATTTATTATGGGTTGATTTTGAGACAGTCAATTAGAGTTTTCTCAAAAACGGTGCGTTTTCTGCGATTTTAATAATAGTACACTGTAACAAACTTAACCTCAAGAAAGTTATGTCATTTGGAACAGATGTGAGGTTTTACCACCCCATTGATTTTTGAAAAATATGTACCCAAAATTTTATTTACAAATTCATCTATGACGTCCTGTATCTCAAAAACAAAAGACGATGGTCCATGGTCCACAGCAAAAAACTAATTTTTGGATATTCTATCTCTCCCTAAATATTTTCCACTAAGTTCCGCAACATCCTGTATAAATCGATTCTTGGAAATGGAAGATACCCTCTATATCTCCCAAAAGAATCGCAGGATTTCATAAGGGGAAACTTTTTTGTTAATTAAAAAGTTGCCAAAGCTTTTACATGTTTTTAAAGGAATTGCCTTTAAATATGGAAGAGGATACTCCTACTACTCCTTTTGAGAAAAAAAGCTGTATTATGCATTCGTCAACCTGCGGTTGAATTTCTCGCCCAATTTCTGCCTTTAATTCATGAGTGGTATTTATTTAAGCAGAATAAACGTAGGACTTTAAAATCCTCTCAGGAAAAAGTCACATGGCGCAAGATCGCATGAATTTGGTGTCCAAGTCATTTCACGTGAATTAAAATACCATCTTCTTAGATAACAAATGTTGACAACGACAAACCAATTAAGCTTTCGGGCTGAAATTTTTACCACTTATTAAGGGGGAAAATAGCCTAAAAAATCCTGAATTACAAGTGTCTGCGATGAAAATTGTATTAATTATTAGCAATTGAAAAAAGCGGACATCTTCGACAATTTTTGAGCTCTTAAACAAATTATCGGATTTTAATCGGTCTTATTTTACCTACAGATTTATTTAATACCTACCTTTTTTGTATAAACCTTTTTCTATGAATAACAGTTTTTTTACGCGAGTCAAAAAACCACTTTTCCATAACTTTGACCATTGTTTTAACAAAGTTTCCCAACTAGTTTCGAGTTGATTTTTTGATATTTTGTTTATAACACGCTTCTGAACAATATTCCGCAGGGAAATTTCTAATAGTATTTTTTCCCCGAAAAAAAGCTATAATGACTGGCCTATTATGGGAATTTCCGTCACACTCTCACTTAAGAGTAACAATGTTTTCGACTGAACGGCCAGTACAAGGCCGGTCTGTTTTGTTTACCGTCTGTAAGCGAACTTGTTTGTTCAAATTTGGCAACTATTTTTTTCACAGTTGTTTCAATCGGGTCGTTGGTTCTAACGAAAATTCCACGTAATTTGAGCACAGTCTCAGCTACACACTCTCCGTATTTGTATGAATTTTCACTATCTTCACTCGCCCATCCGTCGGCTCCATTTTGTCTAACCGCAAACTGTTTACTACCACATGTCCTGTCCAATGCTGCCACCTCTTCGGAATGAAATGGTGCACAATTCAAATTCTGGGGTACTTTTGGGTCGTCCGCTGACGCAGGCTTTCTTCGGTGTACAATATTTTCAGTGAAGCTCTTAACATTATGCCAAGTCAGAATGATTTTATTCAAGTATTTTTTATTTTTAATTACATAGAATCATAATCACAACAAATTATACTGGACTTAACAGTACATTTTCTATTAACTATATTAGAAATTTATTTATTTCAACCCTAATTTCTTCTTTATACTACTCACAGTTGCAGTTTTTGGTATATTTTAGAACACAAAATTTTTTAGATACTAGTCGAAGAATTATCTCAATATAAAGTCCCTTAAGTTGTAATATATACAGCCTGATTGTAAAGCTAGTATCTACATAAAATAAAGTTTAACAAAAAATAAAAAAGTTCGTTTATAAAAATTTATCTCGACAAGCATTAGACACTTTCTTTCGCATTTACGTTCCCTTGCATCCTACTCTGGCTTTTCCTTGGGATACGACTGATAGAACTTGTCCCACTCTGCCTTATTTTCGCATTCCCACTTTCTCTGCTCTTTACCGTTGGCGTATTCCGAGCACCAGGTTCCCGAGGAGTCCGTCAAGATCCCGGTAACGTTGCCCGTGCAGACACACTTGGGCCTTTCGGGGACGTTGCAGTCCATGGCGTGTAAGAGGAGGATGCCCTGACAGCGAACGCCTTCGTTTGTCTTTGTGGCCTTGTAGCCCTCCCAGCACTTGCAGTCTGACAGCTCGTCGGCGTGTGCCTTGTATAAGAGAGCGAGTAGTAAGAGAGACAGGACGAACCTCATGCTGAAACAGAATGCAAGAAAATTTAGTTCTGTAAACAAAGACAAGTAAAGATTAGGGAAAAAAATCCTAATAGAAATGGAGATAGACTGTGTCTCAGCTGAGTTGATTAGATAGGATCGACAAATACAACAGTCGCGTCATAGTCTTTCTCCCCCCACCATGCGCTTTAACGTGTCGAGCGGAGAAAACATTTTATGGCGCCCAACAAAATTAAGATTACTGTAAAAAAGGAGGTCAGTTACTTTTTTTAAATAGCTGAAAAAATGTACTTTCAAATGGCAATAATGCTATTCCGATTAAATTTCAACGATGAGAAAAAGATCTACATTTTTCGATTCGCAAAAAAAGTCAAAATTTTGGTAGATATTTCGCATATTTCCAATTATTGTGCAATACACAATTTGCACAGGAAAGTGCAACTCTAAGAGAAAATTTTAAGCTCAAGATGGATTACGTAGGTGCATTACTGTATGATTTATTGAAACTTTTTCGAAAACTCAATTTTTGCAAAAATTACACAGGCACGCAAAAAATTCATTAACCAGAGGGTAGACCCACTATTCCTAGGTTTTTGTGGTCGCTGAAGCCGAATATGACCATAAAAAATGATTTCAATTGCCCGTTTTCCCACTAGCACCCCCTTACCACCCCCTGAAAGGGGTTAAATTTTAATTTTTTTTTGGGAAAAAAGAGGAGAACCAGTTTTCATGGGCTTAACGATCCAATTACCTGTTAATTAGACAAGCTGTAAACGTCAATACTTTACCGATCAGAAATATCAACTCTTAGATGTATTTTCTAGAATAGGTAGTTCAAATTTATGACCATTGCATTTATAAAAACAACTACTGAATACTTTCATACTGAAAATATAATTAGATAATTATTCTGAACCTTTCTAGAATTGTTCCCTAATAGAACCAAAAATAACAAACTTGATGACTAACCAGAAGGAATACAGGACATAGACTAGTACCGATTTATCAGATGTAATAATAAAACATAATTTAAAAAAAAAGCAAAACATGTCTTTTTTAATTATTGGCAACAAACTTTTTGATGTCACATAAAATTCTTAACAGTCATTTGACCGAGAGTGATGATGTTATAATTTTTTTTATATCAGACTCACGAATCGCTTAATAGCCAAATTAATATCAACAATTTTACACAATGTCAATGATTTAAATCAACTGTGTGACGTTAGAATATCTAAGGTTATATATAAAAAGACAGAGGAAACTATTGAAGCTGACATGTACATAGAAAACATCCTGTATATACCGCAAAGAGGTACATTATAATTACGGATATTTTGTAATAATGGGATGGCACTTAATTTTTTTATACCTTTTTGAAACAGATTTGCTTAAAGTGAGCAAAGAGGCAAAATTTTTATTTCAGGTTACCGTGTCGAATGGTGAGATTGCACGATAGAAACATTGCAACTGTAGACGAATAAACAATCTATTCTATCATTTCGACAGACACAAACAATCCAGCGTACAATTCGTTAATAGAAAGAGACAATAAGAAGTAGTTAATCGTTAGTATTGATGGTTGTTGGTACTCCCAACCACAGCAACATATTATTTTAAGACATAGCAGCTCTGTCATGTTCATGAAATTAATTCAAATTTCTGATTATTTAAATAAAAACATAATCATCCGCTCAGCTTATTATTTTTAGAAATTCCTATGAATAATATTATACACAAATTATAATTACGCTAACGCTAACAACTTTATTATATTATTCGATATACTTTTTTTGTGTTTCTGTTTGTTTTAATATATTTTATTACAATTACCACCAGTTTTTCTTATCATATTTTCTATTTCTACTGTTCAATAACTATTGTTGGATGTTAAAAAAGATATTTTTATCAAAGGAAGCAGGAGAAAAAGATATCATTTACATGGATTGCTAGATGAGAGACTGTAGTATTATAACTCTTGATGATCTAAATTTATTCATAACTGCTTTCAGCGATTTCAGGTTTCAATAAGAGATTTCCGTAATTGCAGATAAATTTACTGAAGGACCTTAACTGAAGAAAACCCACTAATTATATTGTTGTATGAGGTTTTGAGGCTTCTGGGAGTGAGGGTTTCTAGTATCCACCAAAAATTTCAGAGTTGCAAGACTGATTTTGTCTTCGTGTGTTCAGGATTAACCTTCGGTACTGATTGTGAGTGAGAAGATCGTATCGTGTGCAGTATCTGTTTGTTAGGAATATGGATTCATGGTCTATTAAATAAGTTTGCTGAATATATAATTTTGGCTGATATTTAGGTTTTAAAACAGTTTTCTTATATTTACCTGAAGTTGAAGCATTGCAAGGGTTAACCGATATCCGATGAGCCCTAAAAACAAGATGCTTTAACTAGATTCTAGGGCTTAATGCAGTTTTGTCTGCTTTTTGGGCATTAGTGTTAGTTTTGGGCAATAAAAGAAATGTTGTGTAAACTACCATTTCCCATAGCAGATTCGATTTCTTGGGTCTAAATATATAAGGTGACATGGTTCTCATCCGCGGAACAGACAATTTTTTTTGTGTGCATGTGTCATTAGAAATATGGCTTTGAAATATTTATAACAATTTTTTCGAATTCAAGCACACTCTTTGATAAATAAAATTTCATTAGAATTTTTTCCCTGAAATATTTCTAATTTTACTTTTCTAAATTTTACACAAAAAGAAAATGGTTGTGATTAACCATGGCTTTGATTTGTAAAATAAATGGAACACACTGTATATTAACGAAACGGTGGATAAATCCGCTTCCATTTATCCACCGTTTTTTTTATCCCCTAAATTCCATCTTACGTAGGGATACATATTCATAATATATACATTTTTCGCTAAATATGTGGGTGATTCCAAAATCGCGAGTATTTCATTTGATTTACTTGCAACATAACGCATATATTTCTTGCTTTGTGTTCCGTAACCAGAAAAAAACAGGCCACTTATTTTTTTTTTGGCTGTAAGTTATGTGGCGCCCTTTCTGCTTTTTCCCTGTTCGCTGAATTATCTATCACACTTCCTTGGGCACGGCCTGACGAGAAGTCAGCTCGCCAAGCGAAGCAGGGGCTTGAGTAAATCATTTTCCGAAATATTTTTGCATAGACACAATAGTGAGATCTAGAAGGCCGCTAGTAAGCGATGTTTTGGAGTAGTCTCATGATAGCAAATGGAACTACATATTAAAATTATTATAGTATACAGTTTGCCAAATCGAGGAACAAGTTTAGAATGATTTTACGAGAAGCATCCGAATTAAAAATGTTCAATTATGTCGCTAAGTTGGTAGTGCCAATAACGGCTAATAGTACCGGCTAGTAATTTAGATACAAATTTGCAACATACTGGATTTAATCGCCACAAAACATCATTGGCGAACCGTGAGCTCGAATTGCACATGCCTCTGGATATTATAGAATCGATTGTGTATTTATCTTTGTAATAGCTAGAAAAGTACAGATCGACACAATTAAGTATGCGTTTCTGACGCAGAAAGAGCTGCACGTGATTAAGAAAGACGCATTCGGTGAGAAGGAATAAGATGTAGACGCAACACTTGGCATTTGTTTGTTCCTGACTCAGACGCAAACTTATTTGTATCGGTCTTGTAGTTATAATTTGCAAACTTCCACAACCTTCGGCTTCTAACGAGGTAATTTCAAGTTAAGTATTTTGAATTGTCTTGCCTAGATCTCAAAAACTGAATATGCTGGATTACTTTTTTGGAGATAAATTCATACTTTGATGCATGCATTAACTTGCAAGTTCTGCAACACTGAATAGAAAAAGACCGCAACAACTTTAGGAACATGCATTGATATGCAAGAAACCACTTTGAACACCCTTAAAAATGTATGTTTCATGAAATAAAATTGTTAAACTTCTTAATTTCAAACATTCAAAAGTTACCTATCGACAATCTGTATTGTTATCTTATCAACAAAGGTATTAAAAACACATTTTGCAATTTTCAGTTTTTCTGCTTAAAAAAGTTGACGATGTCTCCTACAATGAATTTTCTTTTTTATCATTGTCATATCCAGGCAGACTTATTAGGTAATACCCTGTACCTCATTTGAATTAATTTAAACAAGACTTGAACACCCTGTATCTCGGAAACGCGTTTCCGAACATATGTTAATTTTCTTTAGGATACTCTTTGCTCATAATTTTTTTACACTTTTTTAACCTATATAGTTAAAAGAATGTTTAGATATCATTCCAAGAGAAAAACACAGATAAATAAATATTTACATTACACAAAATACGTATTACTATTTATGTTTTGTTGAAAAATTTAAGTTGACGTTATCAAAATGTAAAAGGTCACAAACGGACTTGATAAGGTAAAAAACCTGGTAAAGAAAATCTGATTATTACCGTTTAAGGGGATTGTTGAATTATAAGAGGTAGTAATAATTTTTTGTAACATTCTATTTTAACGTTGTTAAATGTAAAGTCAGAAAATTACGTAGAAAATGAATACGCATGTGAAACCTGATGAGTATTTAATTTTGAGAAACTGTGAGTGAATAATAATACATAAAATTTAGAGATTTAAGTTTCTCCAAATATTTAATTTGTTTATTATTTAATTTGTTAATATTGCAGTAAAGTTCTCTTTTTATTCTACACAATAGAACTTCTCTTTCTGTTGAATTTTAATAGTTCACACAATTGTCATGGAAATAAAAAAGAATAACTTTTATTTCTTTGGTAATATTGGTCAAATGATTACTAACATTTTCAGTATGCTTAAATGAACATAATTTTCAAAGGAATGCAGGGTGTTAATGATAAGTTTTGCCAAATGTTAATGGCGTATTCTACCGATGAAAATAATCAAGTTCTGTCCTATAAAATTTTTTGATAGGACGGTTCCCTACGGAGATACAGGGTGTTAAAAGTTTCAAATATTTATATTTGACAAAAGATTGAGTGATAAAATTTGGGGGATGACATTTTTTTAGTAAGGACTATTTATTCATAGATAACTTATTCCAAAATACACTCCAGTGGCGTAGTTATTGGAAGAGTAGGGGACCTTTTTAAAAGAAAATCATACGCCACTGGTTTTTAAATAATTTTAAATATTTTTAAAATGTACAATCAATTTATGTGTGTATGTGTGTGTGTATTGTAAAGTATTCGTAAAATTTACTGGTCTTTAGATAATTGGGAAATCAAATAAGAAATTCAATATTTGTAGAATTGAATACTCCGTGACTGAATACAATATTTTTTTTATTAAAATCTGTCTTTAGTTGTATGAAAATCTCTCAAAAATATTATGTATTGAATTTATTGTTACACATTTAGCAATCAATAGAAAATGATAAATAGCAATTATCTAAAGACCAGTTTTTACGAATACTTTACAAGAATACTTTATTGCCACAAATTAATTGTATATTTTAAAAACATTTAAAATTATTTAAAAAATCAGTGGCGTACGATTTTTTTTCAAAAAAGGTCCCTACTTCCCCAGTAACTACGCCATTGGAGTGTATTTTGGAATAAGTTATCTAGAAAAGACAACATTCCATCAAACTACCAATAAAATTCACATTTTTTGGAATTGTATGCATCACCAAAATTAGATTATATCTTTCTAAAATCATAAGACGTTTGCAAAAATATTAAAAAATATTACTTATCACGATTTTTTAACACAAATAAGACACCCTGTATGTATACCTATAATTTATTTTGAACACATGTAATTTCTGAGTTAATTCTTCAAATAATTTTCTTCAGAAACTTTAAACTTAAAAAATTACTATTTTTGCTACACAGGCACTTGCAGGGATTCAAACATCGCTCAAACAATCCTACGACTGCAGTTAACGAATCACGTTTAAATGATGTCATTAAAGGCAGAGGTCACTACCTCAATTACAAAACCAGTGTGGTACGTAAACTAATAAAACATGCACTTAAAAAAGTAAAATCTTAATACCTGATACTGTTTCACTTCACACTATTTTAGAAAGGTCCGAAATAAGCACACGCGACTTGTCTTTACAATTGCCAAGTAGAAAATGATCACATGTGAGATGCTGGATATGAATCAACAACAATATCCTTGGATCTTGGGCATTATATAACTGGTTTTCTGTAATTTCCAACGCTGATCCGATATCAGTGCATTTCAGACGACGTGTGAAAGGATTGTTGTAACAAAAAAACATGTAAACATTGCGGTTATTACTTTAAACGGGGACACCTCACCAAGCGACCTTGGAGAATCAGCGGAATTAATGCGAGATAAGAAGCGGTGATTATTTATAATTTTGTAGCGGGGAATTAAATAAATCGTATAATTATGGTTTCGACACTTGTGGCAAAGCTGTGCGTTTATTAAAAAAATCTGCATACTAGGTAAAAGAGACTCGTTTTCTTGCTAATTTCCGTCTTTATTGTATAATGGTTTTCATGTAAATTGATATTAATGGTTGCCTTACTATTAGTCAAAGAAAAAAATCTCGTTATAGGAATGTCAATGAGACTAAAAGAGTTAGTTTGTACAGAGTCCTACGAAAAAATGTTGCTCATAAAAAATATATTTTTAATATACTATGATATGTGAATACTGTGAATTTTCTTGTTCCAAATAAAGCCTCGATATCCTTTATACCCAATACTTTTTTGCCTTCAATGATTACAATTTTTAAAAGTATTTTTTAAATTACTCACAACTCTTCACTCTTCATGCAAGGAAAATCCAAGGAAAATATAGCTGTTGCTTAAAAGAAGAGGCATCCGTAACTTGTGCAAATTCTTCACAAACTTCGGCATATGTTATGCGTTCCGAAAATGATGGCAACAATGCTACAAGGGTTGTTATTAACGGAAAGGAAGTTAAATGTGATAAAACAAAAAACGAAATGTCTATTACTATAAATGTAAATGTTAATGTTAATAAGAAAATAAATTAAATTTGATTTATTATAGGTTTTACAATTTTTTCATTATTGTACTAGTGAAATAAAGTTACTTTATTCCATTAGCGGATAAAGTATCAGTTTAGACGGTTCATATGTGTGAATAAAAGTTATAAGGTGATTGTGGATAAACGTATTTTATACATGGTTCTCAAAATTCTTATCTTGTCAATGTGAAAATAAATCTAGTAGGAAAATTTAAATAGCAAAATTCTTTTATTTATTTCTGCAATTCCATCTTCTTATTACAATAACCATAATACAATGTTTACTCTAACGAAAAATATTCATACTGGGATGACGAGTTTTTTGACAATACCAGCAAATATCCATTTTACTTCAACGAGGTGACTCTATCGGTATTAATAGGTGATTTTTTTACCACAGGTGTGTGCACTCAGCTTGATTAATTTTTAAAACAGATCTCAACCAAAGTCAGTTAAGTGTAATAAACTATCTAGGCACCCTAGTAAAAGATGTGGTAAAAATATTACTTATTCAGCGTAAGAATGGCCTTATTGTTCTAGTAAAATTACGGCTTAAGGTAATAAGTGAAGTGTTTTTGATGATCGAAACATGTTTATAAAATCATAACATATCAATGTAGCATTTAAAATCGAAATTAATGTAGAACTGTGTAAGAGGTCTTGGCAAAACTCTAGCTGGAACCAGAAAATCCATGGTGTACATAAGTCATTTATTTTAAGGTATGCTTTGGTGCATTGATATTACTAAAAGGGTAAGGCTATAATAGAAGACAGTGCTACCAAATGGACACACTGTATATATGCAAATTAAAATGCAATGTTAGTTTAAACGAAAATACCAAACCGCTGGGAAAACTCTTACAGTTGATTTATGAAGCTAATTACTGGTTTTACCACAAGGCGCGTGAGACTAATATACATATTTATATCGGATTAAAGGAAGATTCAACAATGTTATCGTGATATTTCAGAAAACTTTAAATTTGTCGAACTTTTAAACCTAAAATGTATTCTTAAATTTGTATACAATTTTTTATACGAGCAACTGCAAATATTTTATTTAATGATTTTGTTCATAAATGTACTTTTAAATTTAATTTTCCGGTACCATTTACACAATATTGGATAGACCCAACAACATACACTAAAAAAACCTAGCTATGATTTTAAATGCCAAATTGATATCAGATTCAACCTTGTTCGAATAATTTTACTTTCAAATTTATTGGTTTTACCAACGCATGTACGTATTATTGTTTATAGATGTACTTAGTAGATACTTTTTAAAGGAATCACAATGTGAAGAGGCAATTAACATTAGCCTTAATAGATTCTAAAGTACATTAGAATTTTTCAAGTAAAATGAATATAACTTTTGAGTATCTCGAAATAAATTTATTACGTTGCTCGTATTTTAATTCATATTGAAAAAAAATAATTATGCAACAAATTACCAAATTTAAACATACATACAGGCTTTTTCAGACAAATAAGTTATTGCTCATCTCTTGTATAAGCGTATACAGGGCGTTCCATTTAAAATGTCCCACGCCGAGGACAAAAAAGTTCCGTAAAACAAGTAGTGTACATTTTTCGGAATAAAGGTTTCTTTAACAATTCAAAGAAATTAAAAATACAGTTTCATTAAAAAACCAAATATTATTTTAACTTGCGTGCCTTATTGTGAAAAAAATCCCAAAGAACATGTGACCTAAGACTAATTTTCAAAAAGTTTAAATAATATTTTTTTTTTCGGAATTAGGTCAGGAAATTTTGCTAAAAACACTGTTAGTCACTACACTTTCGCGACATTTTATAATTATTTTGCCTTGTAGTATGTTACAATGAATATTTCAAATGTCAAGATTTTTTTTTTTTTTTTAAAAAAAGTTTAAAAATCTTTCTAAAGCTACCATCGAAACATTTTTTTGGTTTGCTGCGCCATCTGTACCACTACGAAGAAGCATTTTACTTGCACACAGAATTAAAGAAATTATTTAATACATCTACAAGCCTTTGATATCTCTTTGTTTATTTTATACGTACTGTATATGACGAATATCAAATGGTTCCCATAACGTGAGAGTATGATTTCCATTTAAGTAATTCTAAGAATCTTAACAACAAATTAAGGACCTAAACAATGTGATAATTATTCCTGTGTTTCATTTATTAGAAAATCCAATTCTAATAATCTTAGTAATCGGAGATAAAAAATATTAACAATACAAATTAACCTGATAAATAATGACACACTCTTGAATTTTTCCTAGAGAAGAGAATCCTGTTTAAAACATTCCAAGAGATTTTAATATTGGAGACAGGAAAAATGAATATTGACAATACAAATTAAGGTGCAAACAAGCATTATGCAAAAATGATTGTGGTCTAGAGCTATGGGCGTGATTACTTAGCACAGTTTCGAAATTAAGAATAATACAATGACGAAAACAGCTTTCGATTTCTAAGAAAAAGTGACCTACATTACATAATTACTACTTTGTCTTAAAAATCTTTAGCGATTATTGATAGTTCTTATCGCGGCGTTCCAATTTTGAAAAACCAGAAACAAGCGCGACCTAAATATAACCAAATACATCAAGTCTAAGTAGGTACTCACCTGGCGGTTTTGCTGATACTCAACAGAGGAATAATTCACACTGACGTAAAATAACAAAAATGTTGTTCCAAATAATTTGTTTGCAAGTGATGTGGCCGATTTCTGGGAACTTATATAATTTGTAAATCAAATAAAATTTTAATCATGCATAAACATCAATTGTTTCACATGCTGTTATGGTTTGCTCGTCTTTTCATTGTTAATGTAGCACAGTTATAAAACTGTCAGTAGGTGGCATTTGTTTGTTCGAAGAAAAATATTAAAACATTAATTATATATCTACATTACTGTTTAAATATTCACGTTACTCATTCTTTTATAATTTATTGATTAACCATCAGTTTTCGCAAAATAATAATAAAACGCCATCGATCTGAGCATGCTTGTTTCCTTTCTAGGAACCGGTATCGAAAATGAATTAAATGAAGTTAATGAACAATCAAAGACTATTTAGTAATAACAACTATTTTTATTTCCTTGGAAAAATTGGAAGGAAATACAGGGTGTCTCACGGTGACGGCCCATTAGAATTATTTCAGAGACTACTTCGATTTGAACTTTGAAAATTTGGGATACCGTGATTTCGGGCATGCCCTTCTCAACTAAAATAATGGCGTCCACGTACCACTTCCGGTTATACCGGAAGTCGCCATCAACATGCTTATTTTAAATGGAACACCCTATATATTATTGCATTTTTTGATTCTACGTGATATTTTAGGTAGACTTTTGTGAAGGTTCCCTATTCCTAATATTAACCGTTTTCGAGATATTTAATTTTTTTCAAAAAAATGGAGAGAAACAGTGACCAGCTTCAAACCTTGTGTATTTTATAGTAAGAAAGATAAAGCAACAATATTTATAGGGGGGATAGTTAGACCCCTGAGCTTCTCATCCATACTTTAAAAGTGGCTTAATTGCATACAGAGTGTTAGAAATTTAATGCCGAGTTTAGTTAACTTCAAACCTTCATAAGTCGGTTTTTTTAAATGAAACACCATGTATGTTTTTCTATATTCTGATACACAATTTTGCGAGGATAGCTGTGGAATTTTTAGCAAAACTTCAAAACAAGCAACTAAACTGTCACCAGTTATTTATTATTATTTATTCACATTCGTTGGGACACAATGGGATTCTAAGCAGAACATTTACAGTTTTTATATCCTAATTTTCCACCAATGAGCAGAACAAAGTTAAGAAGAATTCTATAAAAGCAATTTCATACATAGTAATACACAATTTTAATTATGTATGTTGATAATAATAATGCACTAACATAAAAATGACTTAAAAAAGTCGTAAGTGTTCAATATGACCCCCATTAACAGTTAAGCACTTGTGGATTCTAGAGATAACACCATCAGCCACCGCTCTCGCTATTTCAGCTACAGGCAATTCATGGAACGCTCTTGGTATTCGAGCAATCAAATCCTCTTTTGAAGCAACGGGTGTAGAATAAACTTTTTGCTTTATTACTCCCCAAACATAAAAATCTAAAGGAGTGAGGTCGGGAGACCTCACTGGCCAATTTCTCGGTCTTAGGTGTCTCATCCATCTATCATTCAGTCAGCTGTTAATCGATTTGATTGTGACAGTGAGGTGCAGCCCCGTCTAATTGATACCAACA